AGTAAACCAGCCTCGAGACCTATGAAAATTTTTACTTTGAGTTCTCAGTTGAGCCTTGAGCGCACTGCTTGAGTGTATCGCTGAGTTGAAGTCACCACACGCTTGCATCCTCCCAGAAGCCTGGGTGTTCAAGTGTGTGTGTGTGTGTGTGTGTTTTTCAAGCCGCAATGCCTGGAACCTCATGCGGCAGGACTGCTTGGAGCTCGGCGCGTCGCAGAGCTCTGATGGCCTGGCTTCCAGGAAGGAGGCTCCGTGTCTGTGACAAGCAAATGACTGCTTGCTTCATGACTTTTAAGCTTTTGCTCGTGTTAGGCAACCCGGCCTGGACACGCTATGGGCATCATCTACACTTCCGGCACAACCGGCAACCCGAAAGCCGTGTTGGGCTTTGACGATTTTGGTGGAGTCGACAGGTTCGAGTGGGCGTCTTAAACAGAACCCGCGAGGTCATGGTGCACCATGATGCCGCTGTCGCGATCACATCCATGGCGAGCCGACCGGAGACAGGTGCTTTACAAGGTCGGGCCGGCAAGGGTTTAGATCCCTGCTTCAGGCGAGTCTGCGAGACTCGTGAAGGTGCCTGGACCGTGTCTCATGTTCACCTATCTCTGTGTGTCTGTGTCTGCTTGTTTGTTTGCCTCTCTGTATGCTTGGATCGGGCTGGAAGTGTCATGAAGTGACAATATATGCGCATAGAGTCATAGAAGTACCGCGGCGCTGACTGTAGGCTTTGAATGAGACTGTCCGGCCACGCCAAAGGCAGCCTCTTTCAATTACAATTACACTGAAACGCACGTAACTCGGTCTTATAATGAGTATAAAAAGTCAGAGATTTGGAAGAGCTGCGGCAAAGCCTCAATCTGGAAAAACATGGACGGCATTGGAACAGAGTATCCCTGTGCCAGCATATCCAGCGCGGATTTTGTCGTACCTGCCTCTCTCGCACGTCGCCGGCTCGATGATGGACATGTGGAATCTCGCCTGCACTTGATTGCATTTGCAGGTGGTTTGCTTCGTCGCCCATTGGATTCTGAGATTTCGGGCTGAAACCTTGAAAGCTTTGTAGGGTGAGTCCCTCGACAGACAACCGGAGTGGCAGGGCATAGCATGGCTCGGTTCATGAATCGGCTTCTTGCCAACAGCTCGCTGGGCAGGCACGAAGAAGAAATGCTACGGAGCTTATTCAGCCATGACCCTGTCTACAAGTGTTTGAGGTTTCCCATCTTCATGGCCGGCAGCAACCGAAAGCTGCACAGCACAATCTATTTTGCCCGTCCCTACGACCTGAAGGAGATGACCCTGGCAGCCCGCATCCAGCGTCTCTTCTCAACAGACAGCCTCCGTACTGTTGCAATCATCATATTAGGTCAAGCAGCCAGGTTAGCATGTCCCGGTCTGGAAACTTTGCAATGCTGCAATGCCGCAAGATGCTGCAAGGTTTGTGCGGCCGACCGTCTTCCTTGGCGTTCCGCGTGTCTACGAGAAGATGCAAAGCCGGATGATGGCGGTTGCTTCGACCATCACGGGCCCGGGCAGCCTGGGAGTGGGGCCTGTCCGCATTGCATCTGTCTCGGTCTCACACCCTCCACGCTTGGGATACGGGACATCCCTGGACGGGGGTTGTCTTGGTTTCTGGCATCTGTGCCTCCGCATGATCAATCGTTCTTGCCGTCCGTGTGGCCGTGGGCAGGTGTGAAGAAGTCGATTGCCACATGGGCCAAGGGAAAGGGGCTCGAGTACTGCAGAAACTTGCAGGCGGGGCGCCACCACTGTGACTTGGATGCCTTGCTTCCGGCGGTGTGACATGAATCTTCAGCCCCTCCACGAGTTCGGCTTGCTAGCTCCAGCCGAAAGCCACTGCCAAACTACGCAACTTGATCCCTTCAACAGAGGCATGCGACACGAGCCAAGTTTCACTAGATATGCCCGGCAGGCTGGCGGTTCAAAGGCGAAGCCTATGTTCCTGACCATTGCAGTGGGCATCCCAGGTCGCGTGATGCTTTCAGGATCTGTCAGGCATCGGGCATTCAAGGTTGTTGATGCAGAAAACACGCACATCATGCCTCCAGCCGGTAATTGTCAAACTTGCCAAGGACAAGTTGATCCTGTCCAAAGCTCGCGACGCATTGGGTTTGGATCAATGCAAAAGCCTGATCGTAGGCGGGCCGATTGCTTTCTTGATGCCCCGTGGTTCCTCGAGCTCGGCAGTGCGAATTCATGCTTTTTCTGCAGGTTTTGAGAGGAAGCACTTGTAGCCAAGTGCTACCGGGTACTCTTGAAGACTAGGTGTCGAAGAGGTGCTTCGAAGTCTAACATCTCCTACAGCCTCGAAAGGTGCTGCTCCAATTTCTGCAGACACACTGGAATACTTTGGCCAGCTGGGCATGATGATTCAGAACGCACGGACCTCGGGTCGTGTGTGACGTGAAACAGACATAGCAGAAATTTGTCATCCCGGCATGAGCCAAACCGAAAATCTTGACATCTGCAACGGTCAGTGGCCCAGTCATACAAGAATACAAGAAGCTGCCGCAGGCTTCACCACCCACATGCCGTTCACAGACAGTCATTTCGTGCGGTGGCAGTGGCGATTGTGATGGTGAGCATTGTGATGATGACGAAAGGGATAGTCGGGAGGATACGGGTTACCGTTGGCCGCCACACACTCCAGCAGCAGCAGGAGCGGCGGTGATCATGGCGATCGCCGATGCTGCCGCTACCAATAGTGTCCTCGTCACCACCAGCACCACCACCACCACCACCACTCTCGCCGCAATCGGCACGACCACCATCATTAAACTCACATAGTCCTCGCGACTGCAGCTGCCTCCCTTCGATCTTTCGATGACATAACTACCTACACTTCATGCTTACTACTGCTGCTGCTAAAGTACGATGACGGCGACGACTAAAACGATGTCGGCCACTGCCGTTGTGAACATCGACACGATGCTCCAGCTAGAAATTCATCCGACAATCAAAGCATTGTGCCAAGGTTTACGGTATGAGCGAGTCCTCGGGACTTACCACATGCTGCATGCCATCGTGGAATGCCTTCGGCACCGTGGGCCAGGCGCTTGCGATGGGTGTGTTTTTGACTATTCCGAAGTGTCTTTAGCATCATGTATCGATTGCATCCTTTCCCTCGCACTTGCAGCATCAGATTAAAACTGAAGGCGCCAGAATCCTTAGTGCGACTAAGGCATGCAGGGGAGCCGAGACGCGTAGGTGCAAGACGATTTGGGCTGGTACTGTAATCCTAAGTGTATGTGGCTCGTGCCACACCTTGCTGTCTTAACACGTGCTGTGCTAGTCGTTATTCTAGTGGCAAGCGTTGAATCTTACGAAAGAAGGAAACTACAAAGTATCATGGGGGCATTCGTTGGAGGCTTGCAGTAGCCGTCCGCTAGCAAGGGCCGGCTGATGTCGATGCTGCTTGCTGCATGCTCCGGTGCCCCGGGCCCATTAGAGCCCAGCCCAAGTGGCGGCTGGCTGGTACCCATGAGCCGGTCTTTCTCGGTCCTTTGGCAAGCGGCTGATGATGTGCGCTCCTGTGTGTCCGACCCATCGCAGCCAGAGTAGGGTTAGCTGTTGCTAATGGTGCGCATTTTTCTGAGTCCGAGTAGGGCAACTGGTGCTCTCGCGCTGCGTGGCTGATGAAACGGATTTGCTCCTGTTGCATGCCAGTCCCAGCACGACTGAAGAGTGGCCAGCTCATTGCGATGATGGGTGCTCCTGTGGCACGATTCTCGCAGAAGCCGGCTGGTGCTGGCGACACGGATCTTTCTGCCAACGGAGGGCAAATTAACAAACAAACAGTGCCAGCTAATCCAGCGCTGATACCTGTGTCCGTCCTGTGTCCTTGCCTGGCCAGCTCAGCCCAGCAGGGCCGGCTGGTGCTGCTGACGGGCGTCTTTCGTTCCATGAAGGGTTAATCATCACCCAACATGAGCCAGCTGAGCTGATGATGTCTTCCCATGTGGACTTGCCCCGGCTTATCGCCCATCGCTGCCAGCCTGCGGCCAGCTGCTGGTGGTGCTGCTGCGTCCCCGCCTCTTGCTTTCCTCCACACCAGTCCAACGGATGTTGATGATTAGAACTTATGACGAGTCGGAGCCCACGGAGTGCAGCCCCAGAGACCATGCAGAAAGAATCTAACCGCAAGCAAGGCTGACACTGTTGCAGGCTCTGCCCGGCATCGAGGTAAAGTGCTTCAAGACCGGGCCAGGTGGAGAAAACATCGAGGCGCCGGTGGGCAAGAGTGAGTTGACAAAGCTGAACTATTCGAGATTCTTCGGGCACTTGCTGCAAGGTGCCTCGATGTCAACCCAGCGCCAAAGTGGTGCCCCGTGCGTGTGATCATGCAGACTTGCAGCCTCGCATTTGCTAATCTTGCCCACTTTTCTTCAGCGGATTAAGCTGAAAACGATTGCTGGCTGTCTGTGCTATAGACTCTGTAGATATCCAGCAGCCTGAATAGCAATGTTGGAAGGGATGGCAGCCTAAAGCGGCTATAATTGACGTCGGCACCACAAATTGATGAGATTTCATGTTAAGCCCCTAAAAAAATCCAAGTGGCCAGGTGCCTGAGGACTGCCAAGGTGGCGGGAACGCACTCAGTTTAACGGTGGGAGACATCGTGTGAATTTCGGCTTATTCGTTCAAGGGCTGGGATAACTTCCTTGTGATTATATAGAATCCCCACCAGAACTACAATCCAAGCATTCTCGCTAAGCTCCCAACTTGCAAGCTCTCCTGTCGGGATGGGCCCTGTTGCCGGTATCAAAATTTGTCCTTGCAACCTCGTCCTTCCATGCGAGGTGAGATTTGCTTTCGCAGGGAGCTCAGGAAGCCCTAGGGTTATCTGTCGATCCTTCAGCTCTAGTTGCAGCTGCAGGCAGTTCTTGCTAGAAATGCCCTTGCATTCTGAGCACAGAAGGCCACGTCGGACTCGCAACAGCCAATCTTCCTCGTTGCAGGTGGCCGGCACATTATGAGTGGCTACATGGCTAACCCCAGGCAGGCGAGTTTCGATGGCGGAAAGCGGCGCTTCGTGCGCAGTGGTTTAAAGGTGAGGGTCGAAAGGTCGAACAAAAAGCATGGCCGGTGCCGTCACTTGCTGTAGCGGCTGGAGCGACAAGCTCGGGCTGAACGAATAGCAGCTTCTTTGGCAGGTTCGGCGAGGCGCACGTCAAGGCAACTTCTCCATTCGACACGTGCTGTAGCACATCCGCTGCGGCTGGCTGTTCTTTTTGTCGGCGCCAGGAAATCAAGGAAAAAAACGAAAGCACCATCGACAAAGATGGCTGGCTGCACAGCGGCGACAAGGCACCACCAAGCTGCATCAGTGCTACACTGTTCTTGAATGCTTCATACATGGTTATTCCGTAGCCAGTTTGGCTGAAGCTGGTCGTGGCTTCAGTGCTTTAGTGTCGAACCCAAGAGGACACAGCCCCAACAATGGCTGCCCGGGCGCAAGTCGTGGTCAAGGCGGCGCAGATCAAGAAGCCCAGGGCCGGCCCTGACGACGGCCTTCCCTTTGCAACAGGTCCCAAGCTCGCAGACGTGTCTGCCTCTGTGGCTTCGGGCAGTGAGGAAACCCTGTCGAAGGCAGCGGTGGAAGGCTTTCAACGGCCGGCGATGCAAGATGCAGATCAGATCTTTGCTGCGGCGCAGGACCACTACCTGCATCTGGACATGGCGAGGCAGGATCCCGAGCGCTTGAAACGCCTGCA